ATCATTCTCTTACATATTTGAAGAAATCTGTTCATTGAGGCATAACTGAGTGGAATTTACCTGATCATCACATCTTTCAATTAACATGAACAATAGATTGTATATTCAGTCAGTTTAGCAGTAAACTAGACATGTGCATATTACATTAAGTACAACAATTGGTGCATCAAATGTTGCAGGTTACTGCCATAATAAGTAGAAAATGCACATTTGCCATGTTTTGCTTTTAATCCGTCTAATAATAATAATAATAATCCTGTATCTTGGCATTGCACTGTTTATGGCGTCTTTATACTAAATCCATTGGATGTTGGATGTGAACTGATTGATTGATTGATTGATTTTTGGTGTTTTAACGCCACTTTTAAGCACCGCTTTTGGGCTATTTCGTGGCGGCCAGTTTTTATTGGTGGAGGAAGCCGGAGCGCCCGGAGAAAACCACCGACCTTCGATAGGAAAACTGACAATCCTAGTCAATTAAGATTGGAGTCGAGTGCACCCGCACGAGCGGGGTTCGAACTCACAACCTCAGTGTTGACTGGCTAGTGATTACAGTAGTAACTACTTAGACCACTCGGCCACCGAGGCCCCTGAACTGATTGAAAATTTAGTCTTAGATGCATTGTTTTTTTTTATTAGTTGTTATTGGCTTTGAACCAGCTGTCAGTAACTGCAAGTACTCTCAGATCTGTACTTAATGTTTTTTTGTTGTTGGGATGTATAAGTACCCGTCCACGTCAACAATGTGTTTTTGTTAGATGTTTTACTATTTGTATCCATCTGATGAGTTAAGCCTTTTTCAACTGATTTTTATTGTTTGTTCTTATGTTTTACTGTTACACCACTGTCCCAGGTTAGGAGAGGGTTGGCTCCTTCGAACTAGTTTAACCCCGCCACATTCTGTATGTGCCTGTCTCAAGTCCGGAGCCTGTAATTCAGTGGTTATCGTTTGTTGCTGTGTTACATATTTGTTTTTTTCGTTCATTATTTTGTATATATAAATAAGGCCATTAGTTTACTTGTTTGAATTGTTTTACATTTGTCAATTCGGGGCCTTTTATAGCTGACTATGAGGTATGGGCTTTGCTCATTGTTTGAGGCGTAACAGTTGTTAGTTAATAACTAATAGTTGTTAATTTCTGTGTCATTTGGACTCTTGTGGAGAGTTGTCTCATTGGCAATCATACCACATCTTCTTTTTTATATAAACTATTATATCCCTTTATCGAGGGATAATTACCCATATTTAAAAGGGTTATTCCTCTATAAGGTATAAACACCATATAGAGGGTTAGTTCCCAACCTTTCCACCAGAGACCAAATGACATAGAAGTTAACAATTATAGGTTGCTGTAAGGCCTTCAACAATGAGCAAAACCCATACCGCATAGTCAGATATGAAAGGCCTCGAAATGACAAATGCAAATCAATTCAAATGAGAAAACAGCCTGATTGAAGTACAAAACCATGAAAGAAAAAACAAAATGATATACAGCAAAAACCAACTGCTACTGAATTATAGGCTCCTGACGTAGGACAGGCACAAACAGAATGTGGCAGAGTTAAGCTAGTTTGAAGGTGCCAACCCTCCTCCTAACCTGGGACAGTGTTATACAGTACAACATAGGAACAAGATGTAAAAATCAGTTGAAAAGGGCTCAATTCATCAGTTTACAAAAAAAAAATATCTGTTTATGATAAAAATTCAAATTTAACCCATTTGATCATTTATAGAACTATTCTTATTTCTATTTATTTCTATGCCGTGTTATTTCCAATCGATTTACACAAAATAGCATTCATACCGGTCTACTAGTCCTATAATATAAGACTTCGTATAGGTTCATATCGTTTGCATTCAACGTTTTTTATCGGATATTTTTTTACTATCCATGCTGAACCATGAACATTAATAGTAATAAAAAATAACCGATAAAAAACCGCTGAATGCAAACGATATGAAGTTAGAACCTACGAAGTCTCATATTAGGTAAACGGACAGAAAGACACAGGACAAAAAGTCACAGGACATAAAGTCAAAAATTTGATAGGACAAAAAGTCACAAGACAAAAAGTCACAAATAATTTTTGACAATTGTTTGAATATATAAGAGAAAGATCTTGAAGTATTTTCTTTTTATTACATATATTCATTTTTAGTTTAGGAAATTGTTCATAAGACTTGATAAATGAAAATTTATAAAATTTGAATCATGCAAAGGATATATTTTTGGCACAATGAAGCCATTTAAGTACCAAGCCACTTTGACATATTGTTTTCACAACAATTATTTGATCATTATTGATATTTATTGAATATATCTTAATTACAAAGTTGCTTCATATATAATAGTTCAAGAAAAATCAAAAATTTTATTTTCTAAATAAGTGTTTTCTTGTTTAAAGAAAAATAATCTCAAAACTGAATTGTGACTTTTTGTCCTGTGACTTTTTGTCCGTGACTTTTTGTCCTGTGACTTTCTGTCCTGCATTCTCATATTATAGGTCTAACCGGTCTACTCGATCCGAAACGTTCAGTCAATCAATTGGTAAATACAAGTCATATACAAACCAGACTAAATATCATAGTATAACAAATCTAAATAAGATTACTGAGTTTTGAAATATGACCGTAAAATCTTCTTTTCTGATTGTCATTTTATAATGGATTAACTCTCCTTTTCGATAGTTACTAAAATATGAGACATATATATGTGTCTATATGTCTCTGCTAAAATAAACGTTGATTCTGTGTGTAAGTAACACCAATGAACTATTACTAGACCATTATTATGTCATTAATATAGAAAGAATAACACTGACCTTCCAAATAAATTCCATCATGGTAGGAGTTGAAAAATTAGAACAATAGAAAAAAAACCCGCCAAAACATAGTAACCAATTAAAACGGAGATTGTAATGGCAGTGTGGTCTAATGAACCGATGAACCATTAAACCTACGATCAGAGGTGTTTTGTCGCAAAATATTAAATGCTGCCGGATTCGCAGGTTGTTGTGTAAATTCTGTACTTTTATTTCAATGAACTCTCTGTCTGATAAACGTCGCCAGTAAACCGACATTTGGTTCTGCAATTATTTATTTCCCTCGAAAATGATAATGGATTTTTTTCCACATTATCAAAGTAAATCAAAATTTAAATAATTTGAATTCAATTTCTTCAACTTGCCAGGTCAATATTATTAAAGAAACATTCACAGCTCACGCAGGAGTATCAAAACACCCACAATGTGTGTGCATTTCTCATTTAAATGGTAATCTCACTAATCTGTAACCATAAACTTTAACATGATGCAATTCAGGCTAAGGACAGGATGTCCTGATTGATGCACAAAAACTATTGTAACAGGGCAACTAAATGATTTCTGGTTCTTGCGTGTTTAAATTAAAATATTTTGATTATTACCTTTGCTTGCCGGTTTAATCTGTTTCAGAAAAGATACTAAATATAACTACACCCTCATAAGAGTAAGGGTTTATACATGTAAATAATTGTTATCCGACCAATGCTCCGATTTTGTGTACCTTTAGTAGTTCAATCTTTGCTTAAAAGAGGGGCGAAAGATACCAGAGGGACATTCAAACTCATAAATCGAAAATAAACTGACAACGTCATGGCTAAAAAAAAAAAAAAGACAAACAGACAAACAGTAGTACACAAAACACAACATAGAAAACTGAAGACTAAGCAACACGAACCCGACCAAAAACTGGGGATGATTTCAGGTGCTCAAGGGCGGATCCAGCCATTTCTGAAAGGGGGTCCCAACCTAGGATAAGGGGGGGGGGGGGGTCCAACTATATGTCCCCATTCAAATGCATTGATCGTCCAAAAAAGGGGGTTCCAACACCCGGAACCCTCCCCCTGGATCCGCCACAGGGTGCTCCGGAAGGGAAGGCAGATACTGCTTCACATGTGGCACCCGTCGTGTTGCTCATGTTACTACAAACCCGGTAAATAGTCTAATAAAGGGAACGGGATTGTAGTTCCGACAGTAGGAACATATCCGCTATCATCTGTGAAACGGTTATTCCATAATGGTCAACTAACTCGTGATGTCGTCCGTAAAATTTATGAAGGGATGATTTCAACTTCACCATTTGGAACTCTTGGTTTAATAGCTTCATTGTGAGCAGCAACCCTCCATCAAGGAAATCATGATAGGAAATACAAGCCCGGGAATTTCGTATCAATTTGGAGATATATACTCCGTATTCAGGCGCTGCGGGAATGTTTCTACATAGAAATGGAAAGTTCACAATTGGGAAACTGAAATCATCTCTTTTTGTAGTAAAGTTTTGTTTTCAACCGACCCTCATTGTCAATTTCTAGATGTCAGTCAATTTGGTACAGTTGGTCCCCATGGGAATGCCGATAGTTTGTAGAAAACACGTCCTCCAAACGTAACAAATATGTTGTCAATCAAGAAATCAAGCATCTTGATAATGTCAGTATCAGAGAATTGTTTGTTTGAATCAGAGTGATTTTTTACAGAGTAGGATTTATCCCTCCCTAAGACAAGATACTTGTATCTATGTTGGCCATTCTTTTTTATGAAACAAAGCAATACCAACTCTTTCAATTTGTCTTTTAGTTTGGAATGGGGAATACTTGTGTAAAGTGTAGAAAAGTCAAATATTTTAATACTGTTGAAAGATGAGAGTCTTAGATTGTATGTACTCTAAAAGATCTTTGAAATTTTTTAGTATCCACATCTGACTCACATCATAATAGCCCAATGTGTACTTCAAGTTTTATACGACCGCAAAAAAATTTTGCGGTCGTATATTGGTATGACGTTGGCGTCCTCGTCGTCGTCGTCGTCCGGCGTCGTCGTCGTCGTCCAGGCGTCGTCGTCCGGCGTCGTCGTCGTCGGCGTCGTCGTCGTCGTCCGAAGACACATTGGTTTTCGCACTCTAACTTTAGTTTAAGTAAATGGATCTCTATGAAATTTTACCATAAGGTTCAATACCACAAAAGGAAGGTGGGGATTGATTTGGGGGGTTATGGTACCAACAGTTAAGGGGCCAAAAAGGGGCCAAAAAATAAGCATTTTTGTAACTTCCAGACATAACTTGTGTGTTAGTGTATGGATCTCTCTGACATTGTACCACAAGGTTCCATATCACAAAGGGAATGCTGGGATTATTTTGGGGGTAATTGCCTCCAAATTTTAGGAATAAGGGGCCAAAAAGGGGCAAAAAACAAGCATTTTTCTAGTTTCATGACAATAACTTGTGTGTAAGTGTATGGATCTCTCTGACATTGTATCACAAGGTTCCATATCACAAAGGGAAAGCTGGGATTGATTTTGGGGGTTATTGCCTACAAATTTTAGGAATTAGGGGCAAAAAAGCTTCAAAAAAACAAGCATTTTTCTAGTTTCATGACAATAACTTGTGTGTAAGTGTATGGATCTTTATGAAATTGTACTACAAGGTTCCATATCACAAAGGAAAAGCTTTAATTGAGTTTGGGGGTAATTGCCCAAAACGTTTAGGAATAAGGGGCCAAAAATAAGCATTTTTTTAGTTTCCAGACAATAACTTGTGTTCAAGTGTATGGATCTCTCTGAAATTGTACTGCAAGGTACCATACCACAAAGGGAAGGCTGGGATTGATTTTGGGGGTAATTGCCTCAAAATTTTAGGAATAAGGGGCATAAAGGGGCAAAGAACAAGCATTTTTCTAGTTTCAGGACAATAACTTGTGTGTAAGTGTATGGATCTTTATGAAATTGTACTGCAAGGTTCCATATCACAAAGGGAAAGCTGGGTTTGAGTTTGGGGGTAATTGCCCTAAACGTTTAGGAATTTGGGGCCAAAAAGGGGCCAAAAAAAAGCATTTTCTAGTTTCCAGACAATAACTTGTGTTCAAGTGTATGGATCTCTCTGAAATTGTACTGCAAGGTACCATACCACAAAGGGAAGGCTGGGATTGAGTTTGGGGGTGATGAATCATAAGGGGGTTCAAAAAATTTGGGGAGGGATTTTTTTTTGTTTTTTTCTTTAAAATTTTCCATTTTGAATTGGTTATTTCTGATTTATATATAAAAGCAAATAATAATGATATGGTTTGAATAGGTAAATTAAAAATTTTTAAGTTCTTAGACCACATTCATTCTGTGTCAGAAACCTATGCTGTGTCAAATATTTAATTACAATCTAAATTCAGTGCTGTATCAAGCTTGAATGTTGTGTCCATACTTGCCCCAACTGTTCAGGGTTCGACCTCTGCGGTCGTATCAAGCTGCGCCCCAGCGGAGCATTTTATTAGCTTATAAATCTCTAACGAGAACACTTTATAATAAACGCCAAATTGTGGTCGTATCAAGCTGCGAGATTGTTTAAGGCTTTTGTAGTTAATAATTTAAACAATGCTCTAGTATCATCAACTGCATTGTGTGCACAATAGTTTTCACCAAGAAGTTCTGACACCAATGAAGTTTGAGAATATGATGGTAATCCTGGCATTATTTTCTTAAATAACTCCATGGTGTCTATGAATCCACATATGTGAGATGGAAACTCATTCCACATCAGATTTGCCTTTAAAGAATGGTACAAAACATGGCAATCAAAGTGTTTGATGTTGTGTCCTACAAGAACTGGCTTGGATGGATATTTGGAAAGAAATGTTATAAAATCAGTGAGAGCTTCATGTGGTAATTTGTACGAAACAGGTTGTAAATTATAAAACATCTGATTTGCAGAAACAGTAATTTTCATATGACCGCAAAAAATTTTTGCGGCCGTATATTGGTTTGACGTTGGTGTCGTCCGAAGACACATTGGTTTTCCGCAATAACTTTAGTTTAAGTGAATGGATCTCTCTATGAAATTTTACCATAAGGTTCAGTACCACAAAAGGAAGGTTGGGATTGATTTTAGGGGTTATGGTACCAACAGTTAATGAATTAGGGGCCGAAAAGGGGCCAAAAATAAGCATTTTTGTAACTTCCAGACAATAACTTGAGTGTTAGTGTATGGATTTCTCTGACATTGTACCACAAGGTTCCATATCACAAAGGGAATGCTTGGATTGATTTTGGGGGGTAATTGCCTCAAAATTTTAGGAATTAGGGGCAAAAAAAGGGGCAAAAAACAAGCATTTTTCTAGTTTCATGACAATAACTTGTGTGTAAGTGTATGGATCTTTCTAAAATTGTACTACAAGGTTCCATATCACAAAGTGAAAGCTGGAATTGACTTTGGGGGCAATTTCCCAAAACGTTTAGGAATAAGGGGCCAAAAAAAAGCATTTTTCTAGTTTCCAGACAAGGATCTCTCTGAAATTGTCTTGCAAGGTACCATATCACAAAGGGAAGGCTGGGATGGATTTTGGGGATAATTGCCTCAAAATTTTAGGAATTAAGGGCCAAAAAGGGGCAAAAAACAAGCATTTTTCTAGTTTCAGGACAATAACTTGTGTGAAAGTGTATGAATTTTTATGAAATTGTACTACAAGGTTCCATATCACAAAGGGAAAGCTGGGTTTAAGTTTGGGGGTAATTGCCCTAAACGTTTAGGAATTTGGGGCCAAAAAGGGGCCAAAAAACAAGCATTTTTCTAGTTTCCAGACAATAACTTGTGTTCAAGTGTATGGATCTCTCTGAAATTGTACTGCAAGGTACAAATGTACCATACCACAAAGAGAAGGCTGGGATTGAGTTTGAGGGTGATAAAACATAAGGGGTTCAAAAAATTTGGGGGGATTTTTTTCTATTTTAAGACTTTTATAATGTATTTAAATTGGTAATTATGGTTGCAAACTCCATTGGAAATTTGAATTGACATGAGATTATGACCATATCTTGAGGGAAAGAATTTTTTTTGGAAAAAGGGGGGGGGGGGGGGGGGGGTCAATACGCAACAGCATACCGATAGTGTATTTCACAAAAGCAAAAAACAGGAGGGGGGGGGGATTTTTTTTTGGGGGGGGGGGGGGGGGGGGGGCAATTTTGCAACAGCATATAGTGTATTGCACAAAAGCAAAAAATTGAATATAAATTCAAATCATATAACCAATTCTAAGTTCTTTGACTACAGTTATTCAGTGTCAGAAACCTATTATGTGGGGCAATATGCGCAATTGTTTCTCCAATAGGCGGTAATGGTAACGTTTTCTTCTGTAGCTCAGTCCATATTGTAAACTTGGATATGTATGATGGCTCGTTTCAAAGCTGAGACATTTTCACATATGTAGTTAAATTTTCGAGGTACAAAGTTTGATTTATTTTTCCGTTAATTAGCATACCCCAAAAATCCTTTCGTGATGCGGCTCTTCCTGGTAAAAAATCCCTTTTTTCACACAATAAATTCTTTGAAAATTTAATACTTTGAATACATTTAATGATTCAATAGTTTTTACACATTTATTCTATGGTCCTCTACTTTCCAAATCAACACAAATGGTTAAGTAAGCTCTGTCACTTGTTAAAAATAGAAACATGTCCAATATCAATACACAGACTCAGAGATTTTTTGTTTACACTCAAATTTATGTTCCTCAATTTGAGGCTCATTATGGATATTGACCCATATTGAACTCCATAGTTCTGATTTTTCCCAATATTCCTGTGTAATCTTCATCGGTATGACTTTCTGAATAAAACTGTGAGTTTTTGTCCATTTCTGAAAGAAAATAAAGTTGTTTCAGCACTATAAGGCAATGATCCTTTTATCCCTATATTCATTAATTTTGAGTTCAATGTGTAAGTATAATATTGATTTCTTCCAGTATATCTTCACAAGTCGCAATATAGATAAAATATCTAATGATAACCTTTAATTACAATATAAAGACCCTGTTAAAGCATTTAATAAAATTTCTGATGTCTAAAAGTGCATTTTGACTGAGAAATTATGCAAAAATGTAGATTTCATCCAAAAACTTTAAAAAATACTAAATAATTTTTGCCACTGGAAATCTGGTATTTTCTACCTTAAAAACCACTCTAAAATGGTGTGAATGTCATATTTATCATATAATTAAAGCGCAATGAAGTGCAAATTTTCAAAACTTGACCTTTCACATAATTCTATTTAAATAAAAAGGTTTTTTCGAATGTATTGCAGTATAAACCCTTTATCAGTGAGAACTGCCCATAAGCTTTTAAGTAAACATTATGACATCACACGTATTATGATGTCATTAAAAAGCGACTGATAAAAATAATGCTAAGCATAGTTTGCAGTGTTACATAATGAACAGTTGCCTCAGGTTTAAAGTCAAAATGTTGAGTCGAAAAGATCAGTAACTAAGCATTTTTATATAATATCAAGACCATAGCAACAGTTTTCATATCAGCATATTTTCATTACCCTGACTGTAATTTCAATTGCATAAAAACCATAAATAAACAATTTAGAGCTTGCCTAATAAAACAAAATGCTTACCAGTAATTCAGAACTTTTTAAAACCTCTTATTTGCCATCTCAGGTTAAACTGGAATGATATGTCTAAAACTAAAATAAGACAAAAAATTTACTCAGGTTGTGTTATCATTTCATTTAAATACAAACTGTATAATTGAGAGGGAAAATTCAAATCCTTGAAAGTTTTATCACAAATAAAGAGATTCTTCTCTCTTGTGGCTTCACAACCTTCATTTTAACCTTTTTTTATGAGGAGCAATCAGTAGTAGCTTAATAGCAGAATAGGTGAAGCACTTTGTTTTTAGAAGATTTGACCCTCCCCTTTTTCACTGAGAAAAGACACTATCTTGTGTTTTGTTACTGTGCATTAAAATATATAGCAATTTGTGCTTTTCTTAAAATATGTTTGTCTGTTTAATTGCATGTTTTAGTGACCAGCTGCTAATTAATGGTCAAATTATTGGTGTAAAACAATGTACGTACGTATCACTATCAAATTATATATTCGTCCGAAGCGTGTTATTTCCCTTGATTATCAGCTATTCCTGTAGCATGTGTAGACTGGAATGATAATGACATAACAATGTCTTTAGTGTGTCATGTTGACTTACAATTTAACAATATTAAATCTTTCCAAAAGAAGTTAGTCCCTTTTTCATGTCAATAACATGTGCCAGCGTCTGATGTAAACACAGTTTTTATTGTGCCAAAAAGAAGTACTTCAGCCCCGTGCCAGTAATACATTTCAAAAGCGAAAATTGTTGCCGATCTTTATAAATAATGTTAATCTAAAACCAGCTGTGATGGCTAGGTATTTATAAAAAACGACTAACCTTCATTTTCACAATTTTCTCTGGTGTACAAGATGCAATCATTCATAAATCAGTCTGACAACTTCAAATATACAGTCTTATAAATTGGGGCAATATGCGCAATTGTTTCTCCATAGGCGGTAATGGTAACGTTTTCTTCTGTAGCTCAGTCCATATCATAAACTTGGATATGTATGATGGCTCATTTCGAAGCCGAGACATTTTCACATATGTAGTTAAATTTTCGGGGTACGAAGTGTGATTCATTTTTCCGTTAATTAGCATACCCCGAAAATCCTTTCGTGATGCGGCTCTTCCTGGTAAAAAATCCCTTTTTTCACACAATAAATTCTTTGAAAATTTAATACTTTTGAATACATTTAATAACTCCATAGGTTTTACACATTTATTCTATGGTCCTCTACTTTCCAAATCAACACAAATGGTTAAGCTCTGTCACTTGTTAAAAATAGAAACATGTCCAATATCACTCCACAGAGATTTTTTGTTTACACACAAATTTTGTGTTCCTCAATTTGAGGTGCATTAGGGATATTGACCCATGTGTCAAATAATTATTTACAATCCAAATTCAGACCTGTATCAAGTGTGAATATTGTGTCCATTTTTGCCCCAACTGTTCAGGGTTGGACCTCTGCGGTCGTATCCAGCTGCGCTCAGCGAAGCATTTTATTGTAATTTCGGAGGCCTGTATTGAGATAGGTTGGTTTGGAAAGATGTAACTGCTAAATTCGGTATTGTTTGAAGTTGCAGCAATCTGTATTACATCTGATGTTCTATCTGGAAAAAAAAATTAGTTTAGTTTTTCATTATTTCAATATTTCTCAATAAATACAAAATATGTTACCTGCTAATTCAATAGTTTTAGCAATGTATGGGTTAATCTTATCACCAAAATGAACCGAAAAGGAAAAGAAAAAAACTTATTATTTTTTTCATGATTTATTATTCTAATATTGCGTTTACAATATCTAATGTTCACTTTTCTTAAGTTTTTCATGTGAGGGTCTGTTAAAGCCTCCTGTGTGATATAGGTTATTTTCATTGTTGAAGTCTGCCTATAATTGCCTACTTTCACTTCATTTGAACTTTGGGTGAATACAGTCTCATTGGCAATCATACCACATCTCCATACTTTCATATAGACAGTTTAAGAAATTTGTATGGGCAATTTTCCTGCTGTGATATACATTTATCTCTACCTTTAATATTTGAGTGAAATCATATAATAGTATTACTTCAAAAAGAAGAATGAAAAGCTGGTTCCATGTGCAATAACCAATATACAATGTATAAACCGGTAAGCATATAAAGTTTTCATATATAATTTACTATAAAACCCCATTTAATTTAAGTTTTTTTTTAGTAAAATGTTATGCTATAACTATAAGGCAGAGCGGATATTTGCCATTAAGAGAGTTTTTAGTAGATAATATTTGTACATGAGAATAATTTTTCTATATATTTATATATTAACAACTTAAATAGGCTGGTAGTTTCTAAATCAAAGACTACCAGTGGAGCTGTAGAAATATCTATCGGTATACATAAAGATGCATTCATTGGAGCAGGGATTTCTTCATTTAACTTCTCATTGTTAATTCCTATAACACATCAAGTTTTTTAAAAACAAAATTGCAGATTTTGATTGTTATATATGGTGTAAAATGTGTTTGTACAAAAGTAAATGAAACATCAAATGTTTAAAGTATGTTCAATTTTATAACTTTGATAATGCTTATTGCATATCATGCATCAATCTTAAAGACCAAAAAAGGGGCCCTCCGCTAATCAATTATAAGTACGAAAGACAGAGAATGAAGTTTAAAAATGATACTTTGGTTAAATTTGCAATAAGTTAAATGAAGTCAAAGTTTAAATTCCAAGACATTTTAAAAAGTTAAGGATGTACTTAGGTAAAATTAAAAAAATCAAATATTTAAAATTGATACTTTAAGTCAGAAGAGCAATAGTTAAGGGAGCTACCATTTGATTTTTATGGGGGGCTAGGATGAAATTAGGAAAAAAGGCAGGACAGAAGTTTTGAGTAAAAAAAATGCAATTAGATTTACCTATTTCACTTTCATAAATTCTTCCTTCTCTCAATTCAACTCCGGTACTTTTTACTGATCTTTCTTTTTTTAAGATTGATTCTTCTTTTTTTGTGCTGCTTTGTTTTGGCTCTTTCAGATTTTTTATCCCTCTTTCTATTCAATCGTATAGCCCTCTTGATAGTCTCATTCCCAGGTGACAATCCAGCTGCTTCACTAACCTTAAAAATAAATAAATTATAACAACATGTATAAATTCAATATGAGGATGGTCTTAACAGTTATTTAAGAATTGACTATTCCTTTTTGTTGCCAAGTTTTATTTTGATGTAAAAGCATTGATCAAAGCACATTTTTCATGAAGCACTTTAGACTTTTATACCCTATAAAACTACAAAAATAATGAAGAAGGAACAAGGATGCGAGATTTTATTGCTGTGTTGAAGACCCATTAATGGACTTTGGCTGTTTTCTGCTTTGGTTAGGTTTGCTGTCTGTTTAACACATTCCCCATTTCAATTCTAAATTTTATTTCTTAAAATTACATTTCACATTTAAAATATACTTTTTGTATAGTGAAATAACAA